CTTCCTTCCTTCCTTCCTTCCTTCCTTCCTTCCTTCCTTCCTTCCTTTCTTTCTTTCTTTCTTTTTCTTTCTCTGTTTTCCCCTTCTCCCTTCCTTTCTTCCTTTCTTTTTGACTTATTCTTCTATTGAGAGTTCTCTGTTTAGCTCTATACCCCATTTTTTAATTGGATTACTTGAGTTGTTGCTTTTTAACGTCTCGAATTCTTTATATATTCTGGATATTAGCCCTCTGTCAGATATAGGGTTGATGAAGATTCTTTCCCAGTCATTTTGTTCTGATGACAGTGTTCTTTGCCCTACAGAACCTTTTCAGTTTCATGAGGTCCCATTTATTGATTGTTGATCTTAGAGCCTGTGCTGTTGAATTTTCATTCAGGAAGTTGTCTCCTGTGCCAATGAGTTCAAGGCTCTTCCCCACTTTTTCTTCTAACAGGTTTAGTGTGTCTGGTTTTATATTGAGGTCTTTGATCCACTTGGACTTTAATTTTGTGCAGGGTGATGTATACAGATCTATTTGCATTTTTCTACATGTAGACATCCAGTTAGACCCAGCACCATTTGTTGAAGATGCTGTCTCTTTTCCATTGTATGGTTTTGGCTTCTTTGTAAAAAAATCAAGATTTGTACGTGTGTTGGTTTATTTCTGGTTCTTCTATTTGATTCCATTGATCCACCATTATGTTTCTATGCTAGTACCATGCAGTTTTTATTACTATTGCTCTGTAGTACAGCTTGAGATCAGGGATGGAGATACCTTCAGAAGATCTATTATACAGGATTGTTTTTGCAAGTCTGGGTTTTTTGTTTTTCCATACGAAGTTGAGAAGTGTTCTTTCAAGTTCTTTAAAGAATTGTGTTGGTATTTTGATGGGAATTGCATTGAATCTGTAGATTTCTTTTGGCAGAATGGCCATTTTCACTATGTTAATCCTACTGATCCATAAGCATGGGAGATCTTTTCAACTTCCGACATCTTCAATTTCTTCAGAAACAATTTTTTTTTTTTCAAACAGGTCTTTCACTTGCTTGGTTAGAATCACACTAATTTACTTTATTTTATTAGTAGCTATTGTGAAGTGTGTAGTTTCCTTACTTTCTTTCTCAGTCCTTTGTTTATTTGGTGTGTGTGTTTGTGTTTGTGTACCGTGGTGTATTTGTGAAGGTCAAAGGAAATGTTGGTGGCTATCACTTCCCTCCTCCTAGCATGTGGATTCTGGCATTGAACTCAGGTCATCAGTCTTGGCGGCGGCACTTTTACTCACTGAGCTGTTTTGGTTGTCCAAAGAATTCACTTTTGTATGTGCATCTTCTTTCCTACAATCTTTCTGAAGTCACGTGTTTGTTTTATTCCTACCCCCCCCCAATGGTGGAATCTTTGATATATAAAATATATGAACATATGTGTGTATGTGTGGGAATATGAATATATATATAAAACATATGAACAGAGAGTTTTATTTCTTCCTTTCTAAGCCATTTGTATACCCAGATCAATTTATTTTCTTGTGTAAATGCCCTGGCTAGAAGCTCTAATATAATATCTCATAGAAATAATAGGAGTAGGTATGAGTGTCTTATTTCCAACAATGAAGAAAAACATTTAGTCTCTCTCACTTTAAGTATGAACTTAGTTGTCAGTTTAACACAGGCACTCTTTGTTAAGCAAGTTCAAGTCTGTCACCAGAATGTCGAGACCATTCTCGTAAATGTCAGGTAGAGCTTGTCAATTGCTTGTTCTTCACTTACTGAGATGATCATGTGGTTTGTTTCTTATTCTCTGATAAACTGGTGTGACATTTTAAAATTTCTAGGTTTTCAGTTTTGTTGGTGAGGCCTGTAAAACGGTGACATTTCATGTGCCTGCGACCCTAGAGGCGGACCGGATCATCGGAAGAGGTGAGGAGTTCCGAAACGACCTCTGACACAGACACATAGTGCCCATGGGCTGCCAGCACTGTGCCGTGTCGCCTTTGCCCTCTGGAGCTGTTCTACATTGACTTAGACAGAGAGGCAATTCAATATGATTTCAAATACATATCTTTGACCATTTAGCTATTGAATTAGGTGCTTAATTCTAATGTGAGTTTTCCAGTCGAGGTTTTTGCAGTCATTAATCTTTTAACATTTTAAAATATCACACTTTTAACACTTCAGAGTCTGAGAATTACAGATGCATAGAAGAGTGTTGGAAAGATACACGGCAGTATCTTAGATTTTATTTTATTTTATTTTATTTTATTTTATTTTATTTTATTTTATTTTATTTATGTTGTGCTTGTGAAATTATGCTATGGTGTGTGTGTGTGTGTGTATGTGTGTGTGTGTGTGTGTAGATCAACAGACAACTTGTGGGATTTTATTTTTTCCTTCCACTCAGTGAGCACTAGGGATCAAATTCAGGGTGTCAGGCTTAGCAGGAAGAACCTTTACTCACTAAGGCATCTTGACAGCCATGGGGCAGTATTATTATATCTATATTGAGAGGCAATGAAGTGTGCCTTTCTCCTCCTGGTACGGCATTTAAAATTGGAGACCTGAATGAACTTGAGTTTCTACCAGTTATCTGGACAACTCTGCCCAGCTGTTTTTATTTGTTTTTTGTTTGTGTATATATGTTAGAAAAATTAGAGGAAACCACTGATTTTTTTTTAAAGAGCAATACTTGTCCAAGAAATTTGAAAATTGCCTTTTTGACAAAACGTTCAATTTCTGACTAAACTTTCTCAGTGGGTTTCATCAAATTAATATCACTTTTCCTGCTGTTGGGAAAGAAGAACAAAAATGTAAAGAGAGGTATGGTTTTCTACTAGGAGAATAAACCAGAAGGAATCACTTAGCTAAAAATATGAGACATATAGAAATATGTCTATATTCCTTAAAATGCTCAGGCCCTTTGGTGAAACATCCATCATTTTGATAAACTTACCCATAAAAGGTTTGGGTTAAAACAAAGATACACATGAAGCAAAGGAGCCCTCAAGTGAGGTAATTTTTTGAGCGTCATCAGTTTGGTTGCTATAAAGACAGATAAAAAGTGGGATGGAAACAGTTGTGTTTGAATACTTAAATATTTCATTTAAGCATTAAATTATTAGGAGGAACATTCCCAGATAGGGAAGCTGCCATGTGTTGTTCCACTAGAAGTCCACAGAAACCTGCCTCTGTAGGAATGGAATATGCAAAAAAAAAAAATGTTATGGGAGGAATTCAGAGACTATGCTTTTTTTTTTTTTTCATGTGACTGTCAGGATCCTATGCTTCTCTGTTCTTTGTGCCTCTGTGTATATCTTCTGACTAAAGGGAGGTGTACCTTAAGACACTCCCTGTGTATTGCTGAGGGAAATTTCACTGTGTTTATTCAGGTGCACATGAGGGTGTGTGGCTCATCTTTGTCATGAGAGTCATGGGTCACCTATTTAGTGGAAGATCATTTTCATAAGCCTCTCAGAAGCATATTCATCTTTAAAATATCTTTCTCAATAGAAATAATATACAGTCAAGCACCAAAATTTTTAATTAAAATGAGATTATCATTTTAAAGGATGAAATAGGTTTATTAAGGCATTCCACAAATATAACTGCTTGGTTTTCATGATAGTGTACATTATGTTAACATACATGTTTCCTTTATGCTTTCATCTCCACCTTACAACTGGAAAATTTTTCCTGGCAGTTGATCTGAAAGAGTGTCTAAGATCTGCTGATGGCATCAGGCCAAATGATCCTGATTTCAGAGTTCTAGATGATGGGTCAGTTTATACAGCCAGAGCTGTTGTGCTGCCTGATGAGAAAAGATCGTTTACCATTCAGCTTTCTGACTCAAAGAGGCAGACACAAAAAGAGATCGCTGTAATTCTGGAAAGCCAGAAGAAGGTAAGCAAAGTGCACTGGGCAATTTCAAGCATGTGGCTCTTTTGAGTAAAAGTCTTTCCTTAGAAATGGCAAAGAGGACCAATGGAGGAATAGCATCTTTGCTCTCCCCTCTTGGTCCTTCCCTCTCCTTTCTCTTCCTCCTGTCCTGTCCAGTTTTGTTCATGTTAGTTCTCTTCTCCTTCCATCCTCTTGCTTAATTTTGCCTTTTGTTTCTAAACCTTCCTGAACACAGTTAAATGCTGGCTTTGGGTTTTCTGGTGTTAAATATAAATGATAAGTCCCTTCTGTGAAGCTTTTGTGTACCTCTGATGTCTAGCTAATGACACTTGTGTTCTAGTATAAGTTTGCTACTTCTTCCTTAACAGACCTTAGAATTTCTCATTAGTTTAAACACTTACTCATGAGGAACAGTATGTGAATGAAGTAACAAAATGATGGAAGATTTTAATTGGCCTATACCTAATCTATGCTAATGAAGTGGTAAGGCTAATTAAATGACTGCTGAGAATTTTATTGAATATTTAATAAAATAATTAATTAACAAAGACCATGATACCAAGTGTCTCATTTTGCTACAAACATAAAATAATCATTTCTAGAGCATCTGGTGGAATTTTCTAGAGATGTTCTAGAATGTTCTGTAATCTCTACTGTGTGGTACAATGACCGTTAGTAGCTATTTGGGCATTTAACATACAACTTGTGTAATGGAAGGATAGAGTTTTCCATTTAAATTTAGTTTATCGTATGCCTAGTGGTGGACAGTGGCTGTCATAGAGTACAGAGAATGTAGAGAGAGCAGTAAATGACATACCTTTCCATGGTTCACTGGATTGTGATGCTTCTGATATTTTGGTTTTCTTTTAAATTTAGGTGATGAAGAAGAAGAGACACACTAAGGACACTGTCCTTAGGAGGGCCAAGAGAAGATGGGCACCCATTCCCTGTTCCATGCAAGAGAATTCCTTGGGTCCCTTCCCACTGTTTCTTCAACAGGTAAGTATTCTCTCCTTCTGATTGTGATCTTTCTAAGTGGGCAGTCTGTTTCACTCAGGTTTAGTAAACACTTAAGCATTAAAATAAAGCAGACATGACTGAAGCTGTTCAGGAAACACAAGTGAATACAGTAAGAAGAAAATGACTGAAGTGCTCATGGTATAAGTAGCCTTCAGCCTTTGCATGTTTTATTCCTGTGTTCAAAAGTGGCAATGCTTGTGTCCCCTTTTATAGCATAGCCCAGATTATCATGGATAGTGATTTTATTTGTTTATATAATCTATTACATCATAATTCTTTATGCCATTATTTTTATCTTATTGTTTATATTATTTTCATGTATATGCCATTGACTTGACCTCATGCAGCCAGACCTAATTGCAAGTGAGATAGGGCTGCACCCTTCTTCCCAGCATTTGTAGGCTCAGCTGTAAAGAAAATGGCAGAATAGGGACTGGAAGTGGAAAAGGTACTTGCCACCAAGCCTGACACCTGAGTCCTATCCTGGGACCCACATTGTGAAAGGAGTGCATTGACTCCTGTATGTTGTGATATGATTTCCATATGCATACCCTGGTCTTACCCTTACCACCTATAAGTTATATTGTTCTTCTCCATTAAAATATTGTTATCAAGATGAAAATATATAACACACTAACATTTAATTAGTGTGTTATATATTTACATTTAAATTTAATTCTAACATTTAAATTTAATTCCAAGTGCGTGCCTCTGTGTATTTTTCTTTCAGGTTCAGTCTGATGCAGCTCAGAACTACACCGTCTTCTACTCAATAAGTGGACGTGGAGTTGACCAAGAACCACTGAATTTGTTTTTCATAGAGAGAGACACTGGGAATCTGTATTGTACTCGCCCCGTGGATCGTGAGGAATATGATGTTTTTGATGTAGGTGTTCTATGGAGAAATATGGCTGTATATTAATGAGCTGTCTCTCTTCTAAGTCCTTGCCTGCTTTTTTTTCTTCCTGCATTCTGTTCTTAGAGGGTGTCTTTGAGGCAGAGGACAATACCGTGTACTGAGTGTTGGAAAGCTTGCTCAAACCTGTAATCTCAGCTTTGGTTAGGCAATCCTGAAACAAAGCAAAGAGGTTTAATTGTATTTGAACATTAAACTCAGTACAGTGTTAAGAGTTTAGCTTATGTAGCCCATGGCAGTTCAGTGTCCCAGTGGGTTCCATAGTAATGAGAACAGGGACTGTCCCTGACATGAACTGATTGGTCTGCTCTTTGATCACCTCTCCCTAAGGGAGAAGCAGCCTTACCAGGACATAGAGGAAGACAATGAAGCCACTCCTGATAAGACCTAACAGACTAGGATCAGAAGGAAGGGGAGGAAGACCTTCTTTACCAGTGGATTGGGGGAGGGGCATGGGTGGAGAAGGAGGAGGGAGGGTGGGCTTGGTAGGGGAGGAGGGAAGGAGCTACGGGGGATACAAAGTGAATAAATTATAACTAATAAAATTTAAATTAAAAAAATAGTTTAGCTTAGCTTACAGACACTTATTTTGGTCTCTAGAACAAAAACAAATTCTCCAGGACAGATCCACAATTGAGCTTCCTCCATTGCTCTGGGGTATCTTTTTTTCACTTTCTTCCACATGTGTTACTCTCTGATCATGAGTGATGACTAGAAAAAAAAAAGAATGAAAGTGGGAAACCAAGTCTGAATCAAGATTAATAGTTCAGCTTTCTGATACAGATAAGTGTACAGTTGTTGTGGGGCTGACTTAGGTAGGTTCCATTATAGAGAATGTGCTCTACTATCATGAAACAACCCTATGGTTCAGCAGGAAGGATGCCCCCCTGGAAAGAAGCAGTAGCTTTTACAGGATGAAAGAGATGCTGAGGAGCTAGCCTGGCTGCAGCGCTCATGTGGCATTCTTTGCCTTTTGTTAGAAGATGTGAAACTTGATGCAATTGTTCACTGAGAAGAGATACATCCTGCCTGACGTTACATCTTTCTTTGTTTAATGAGCAGTGAGGGAATTAGCAAATGTGTTTCGTAATAAGAATAATATAAATGTACAGTATAATGTCTATGAGGTGTGTGGTAAGAGTCCAGAAACAGCAAGGTTGGGAGATTTTACTTTATAAATTATGTAGAAGGATTTTTCCCTCTCATGGCTATGAGCTGACCATTCTCCCAGTGAAACTTACTGATGTCAGAGAGATTAAAGACTATAATCTGATTTACAAGTACACCCAATGCCTCCAAATAAGGCATAGGGAAATTCATCTCTGGCTTTTCTACATCTTGTCCTGTTCTTTATCTCCAGTGGAGCTGTTCCTCCCAATACTGAATGCCAGTTGTCTTAAGTATCTCAGGGTGAGCATTGAGTGGGTAGCTTACTACTGAAAGGCCTTTCGGGGGAGACTGCAGGGCATCTCATCTCTCCTGTGCTGTGCTGCTGGCTGGCTGCTGATGTTACCTTCACCTCTCCCACAGCTGATCGCCTATGCATCCACTGCAGACGGTTATTCGGCAGATTTACCTCTCCCACTGCCGATCAAAGTTGAGGATGAAAATGACAACTACCCTCTTTTTACAGAAACAGTTTATAACTTTGAAGTTCCAGAAAGCAGTAGACTTGGTAAGGCTGTTTCTACGTTAAACGTATTTGTGTATAATTTTGAGACACTGGGATTTTTAATTTTGGTGTTTTTTTCTTTGCTTGTATTTGTGTGTATGTGTGTGTATAGAGTACAACCTCTACTGTTATATTCAAGTTACAATTTATCTTGTACCTCACTACATATTATTAGAATAAACAGTAGAATAATTTGAGGGACACAGATCACACAGACTGTCCATCCTCAGTAGTTCCTGAATGTGGAAAGCAAATTATTTCGTTTCTATGGCAATGTCATACCTTGTTTCTGAGGCTTGTATTATGAAAGACTGTATACCACCATGAAGGTGAGACTGGGGACTCTGGCATAGACAAGGGCTAAACGTTTTTTTCTGGTAAGATTTCTAGCCATTGCTTACATCCTTACTGTATTATAGCTACATTTCCTCTCCAGGTCACTGAGAGAAGTTGTGGCAATCACTTCCACTTCCTTCACTTGTACATATATTTGATCATGTTGGAGAAACTATTCTGTTCTCAGCTTCATGGTTCTATGGCCTTGATGCATTTTTCTGGTTCCTAAGAGGGGCAATTGGCTTCAGCTTTCCTTGAGAATCAAGGGAAAAAACCCACTCGGATCTCCATTAACTTGGTTACCTGCAGCTCACCTGAGCATTAGACTCAGAGCTATTGGTGCCGTGAAATTCTTAAAGGAAAAGGAATAAAATAAATGAAATCAGAGCAGACAGAGCAAGAAAGTGAGCAAGAAAGGGAAGGGAAATGTTTTCAAATGAGTAGGAGATGAAAGCAGAGAGGGAACTAGAGAACACCCGAAGGTGATGATATGGCTCATCAGGTAAAGGAGTTTGCCACCATTGACCTAAGATGATTCCTGGGGCCCATATGGCAGAAGAAGGGAACTGATTCTTGCAAATTGTGTGCTTTGGCATATCTCCCAATAAATGAATAAATTAAAATAAAAAATAACTTTGCTCATTTACATAACTATACTAAAATGAGTCTTAATTTAACTATTAATTAAAAGTCGAATAAGAAACTGAATTTTTTATGAGACATTGCTTATGACTCTGGTCAGCTTATTATTTCAATATGTGGAAATACACACTGATATTATTTCAGTTTCTTGTGTTTGTTTATGAGATGGGTCTTGCTATATAGATCAGGTTGATGTCAAATCTTAATCCTCCTGCCTCAGCCTTTTTCATGTTTGGAAGACAAGTACTGTCCCATGCCCTGCTCTGAAATTTGTATTGGTTGCCATTTAGATTTTTATAATTTATTATCAAATATTTTAATCGGTGGCTCTCAATGCCAGAATGTTTGGATTCTCCATTAGAAGTCTTCTTCCTGTGTCCTGTCTAAAGTTATGATCCATTTGGCAAGAATGATATTTTAAATTAGGTTTCCATGGTCATTGTGACTGCTGAAAAGTATAGTCACCAAACACACTGTGCTATTCTGGAAGTTCAAATTTGCTCTTTAAACACACAGGTACTGTAGTGGGTACGATTTGCGCCACGGATAAAGATGAGCCTGACACGATGCACACGCGCCTCAAGTACAGCATCTTGGAGCAGCAGCCACCGTCACCTGGGCTCTTTTCTGTGCACCCTGACACTGGCGTCATCACCACCGTCTCTCACTACATGGACAGAGAGGTAGTGTCCTTACTGCAGAAAGCCATCTCCCTGTGGGTTTAATCCCTCTTCCCACCTACTTTAACTTGGTGTTCTATCCTATCTTATTTTATTGAAGTGTAAGAGAATAAGAATTCTTATCATGTTTCCTAGTTTTTAAACATTATTTCTATTTCTGTATGTAAGATAAACCCTAAGCAATAGAAATACAGTTTGATTGTTGTTTATAAGAAAGGATACAATGTGTTTCTTAGGAAAGCTATCGGTTGTTCCCTTATTTCCTTCATTGTGTAAGGCCAGTTGGTTGGTGAGCAGTAAAGGCTTCTGTAGTTACACAGGGAAATAAGGTCTAACTTTTATAGTGAGTATAGCTCTTATCCCAATCCCTATTCAGTTAATCTATCTGTGAGCAGTTTTTAAAAAGAACAGTATTAGTTCAGATAAAATTAAATTTATTAATAATAGCAGATGGTCATGTGTGTGGTAAATGTACTCAACTTCTTTATGAGAATATTACTTGGTGTTTAAATTTATTTACTCAATTGATTATGAAAGTACAGTAAATATCTAATCTATATATGAGAAATATGATGGTTAGAGTTGATTGGCTTGCCCAAAGTCAAATTATTTGAGGTAGTCTTCCATCATTTATTATTTGGTCAGCCTTTTTAACTGAGTCAAACAATTGTTGTTTGTTTGGTGTTTTTTTTGTTTTGTTTTGTTTTGTTTTGTTTTGTTTTGTGTTGTTTGTTGAGACAAGGTTTCTCTGTGTAGCCTTGGCTGTCCTAAAATTGCTTTGTAGGTCAGGCTGGCCTAGAACTCATATCTGCCTACCTCTGTCTCCCTGAGTTCTGGCCACCTCTTTCTTTCTTAAGTAGATAATTAGCTATCAAGTCCTGCTCTACTCTCATGCCCCAGACAATTTCGTCTTTCTCTTTGCTTTTGTTTCTACTGTTTAAGGTTTGGGCTACCATGTAAAATAAGGGCTCCCTACCTGTTAACCATGATGCCAGGTTAGTTTACTTTAGACTGGTGCTTCTCAACCTGCAGGTTGCAATTTCTTTGACAAACCTCTATCTCCAAAAATATTTACATTCCAACTCATAACAGTAGAAAAATTATAGTTATGAAGTAGCAGCAAAAAAAGTTTTGTTTGGTAGTCACCACACATGAAAAACTGTATTAAAGTGTCATAGCATTAGGAATGTTGAGAACCACTGCCTTAGACAGCGCTTACATTTCCTCAAGACTATCATATAACTTAAATGTCATTACTTTGTATACCATCTCTAACTTTCCTATTTTCTGTTAGGACATTTCTAAATTCTCAGTATGCCTTTCTGCTTTTGTGAATTACCTTACTCTACCAAAAGTTAAGAGTACACCCAAATATAGACATCAAATAAAAACAAGCAAAAGAATGTGCAAAACAGGTTTCACTTATGAATCTAAACAAGCATCAGAGTCAATTAAATAATTGTTTTACTTTCAGGTTGTAGACAAGTACAAACTGATAGTGAAAGTCCAAGACATGAACGGCCAATTCTTTGGACTTATCAGTACAGCAACTTGTATCATAACAGTGCAAGATTCCAACGACAACGCACCCACATTCAGACAGAATGCTGTAAGTTTAAATCACTCACATCTATATTTGTTTTGCTATTTCTGTTTATTTATTTCAGTTTATAGAGTTTCTAGAATGCATTGAGTCATGTGGTTATTTATGAATAAAAGTGCAGCCAAAAAATATAATGTACACATCCACACATGGCCCGTGTTTCCTGATGTTAGTATTTATGTTATCTTCTTGTTTAAGGGCAATAATGTTAGTTTACATTTTCAAGAAATATTCTTTATCTTAAAGCTTCATGAAGAAATATTATCAGTTATCATACTTTTAGGTGATCTACATAAACACTGTAACACCTAGTTCTTAAAAGAAAGAAAGAAAAAAAAAGAAAGAAGAAAGAGAAACGTTTTTTACTTTGTGAAAATTTGTATAGCAAGTGATTTTTTAAAAATGACTTTCTTTTCTTCCAGTATGAGACTTCTGTGGAAGAAAATACATATAATGTCGAAATTTTGCGCATACCTGTAGACGATAAGGACTTGATTAAGAGTGCCAACTGGAAGGCCAATTTCACGATCTTGAAAGGAAATGAAAATGGGTGGTTCAAAATCACAACAGACCCAGCCACTAATGAGGGTGTTCTATGTGTCGTGAAGGTAAATGGATAATGAGTAAGAACTTTATGCCACTCAGTGGTTTCATCTGCTTGATAGTTTCGTTGGGGTTCTATAGCAGCCAAGTTGAAAGAGAACTAGTTAGTGTGACTGTTCCCAGCTGGCTCCCATCTTTCTTGTCTCCTAGTGTATGCCAGAATACTGTTAATCATTAAGATCTCTGTATCTCCAGTGGCATCCCTCCCACACTTGGAGAGTTTAGTTCTTAGTGTAAGTCTGCACAAGCCACTTTCTTTACAACTGACACCCTGAGCCTGGGTCTAGGTCTAGAAGAGACACACAGAAAACAACAACAACAAAACTGTAGTGTCCATTGAAGACTTACCTTCTTGAGGGCCTATCTGCAACATAACTTAGAATCCCTACATTCTTCTCGTTCTTTTAAGGATATATACCTGGTTGTATTTTATTCCTAGTAGTCAGTGTGTAGGGAGAATACAGTAGTACATGAGATAGCACTGAATAGATATATTTTTATTGTACATATTGCTATTTGATTTCACTCTGTATTCTTGGTCTCAAGTTAAAAGGGCAGGAAGGTCTGTTTGACAAGAACATTTCTTTTCATATTTCTATCCTAGAATAAAAAGATGATAGTGCCCTGTGGGCAGGTATGATGACTATTCACTGACTAAGGGCAACTTACCTACTGATGAGAATATGGTGGCAACCTTGCTGGTTTTAGTTTTTCCTACTTGAGAACTCTACGGAATTGTAAATCAAGTCCAGAAAGTTCTGTTCAAATGTGAACAGTCAGATACACAATCTTAGTATCAAGCGTCTACTTGAGCATGTTCCTGCTTTGTCTCTGGCTCATTTTCGCTGATGTTTTTTCTAGGGCTTTTAGGTGTGCTGTTAGGTTGTTTGTATGAGATGCCTCAAACTTCTTTCTAAAGGCACTTAGTGCTATCACCTTCCCTCTTAGCACCGTTTTCATTGTGTCCCATAAGTTTGGGTAACTTGTGCCTTCTTTTTCATTGAATTTTAGGAAGTCTCTAATTTCTTTTTTCATTTCTTCCCTAACTAAGCTATCATTGAGTAGAGAGTTGTTTAGCTTCCATGTGCATCTAAGCTTTTTGTTATTTCTGTGGTTGTTGAGGTCTAGTTTTAGGCCATGGTGGTCTGAGAGGATACAAGGGATAATTTTGATCTTCTTATATCTGTTGAGGCTTGCTGTGTGTCCGACTATATGGTCAGTTTTGGAGAAGGTTCCGTGAGGTGCTGTCTAAAGGTATAGGTTTTTGAGTTTGGGTGAAAAATTCTCTAGTCATCTACTAGATCCATTTGGTTTAGGAGCTCTGTAAGTGTCATTGTTTCCCTATATTGTTTTTGTCTAGATGATCTGTCCCTTGGTGAGATTGGAGTGTTGAAGTCTTCCACTATTAAGGTGTTGGGACTGATGTGTGATTTGAGCTTTAATAATGTTTTGTTTACAAATGCAGGTGCTCTTCTTGTATTTGGGGCCATAGATGTTCAGGATTGTGATGTACTCCTGGTAGATTTTTCCTTTGATGAGAAGAAAGTGTCCCTCCTCATGATTTTTGGTTAATTTTGGTTGAAAGTCTATTTTATTAGCTCTTAGGATGGCTACTCTATCTTATTTCCTGGGTCTGTTTGCTTGAAAAACATTTTCCATCCCTTTAGTCTCAGGTAGCATTTATCTTTGTTGCAGAGTTGTGTTTCTTGGATGCAGCAGAATGTTAGATCCTGTTTCTTCAGCCATTCTGTTAGTCTGTGTCTTTTTATTGGAGAGTTGAGTCTGTTGATGTTGATAGATAATAGTGGCCAATGTATGTTAATTCCTTTTATTGTGGAGTTGGTGGTGTTACTGTGTTTCAATGCTTGTTGCTTGTTTTCTTTTAATTCTTGGTTGTGAAGTTATCTATATTCTGTGTTTTCTTGGGTGCAGTTGATTTCTTTAAATTGGAGTTTTCCTTCCAGTATCTTCTGTAGGGCTGAGTTGCTGTGTAGATATTGCTTACTTAGTTTTGTCAAGGAATACTTTGTTTTCTCTATCTATGTTGATTGAAAGCTTTGCTGGGTATAGTGGTCTGGGTTGGGATCTGTGGTCCCTTAGAGTCTGCATGACATCTGCCCAGGCCTTTCTGGCTTTCATAGTTTCTGTTGAGAAGTCTGGTGTGATTCTGATAGGTCTACCTTTATATGGTACTTGGCCTTTCTCCCTTGCTGCTTTTAATATTTTTCTTTGTTTCTTTGTTAATATGTTTTCTTTGTTTAATATTTTTTTCTGTAGATTTAGTGTTTTGACTGTTAAGTGACATGAGTTTCTTTTGTGGTCTAGTCTATTTGGTATTCTGTAGGCCTCTTGTATGTTTATGGACATCTCTTTTTTAAGTTGGGAAATCTTTCTTCTATAATTTTCTTGAAAATAAATTCTGGACCTTGGAGCTTGGAATCTTCTTTTTCATCTATTCCTATTATTCTTAGGTTTTGCCTTTTCATGGTGTCCTTGATTTCTTGGGTGTTTTGTGTCAGGACATTTTCTGATTTTATGTTTTTGTTTTTGTTTTTTTTTTTTTTTTGAGAAACATATTGATTTCTTCAGTTGTGTCTTCAGCACCTGGGATTCTCTCCTCCGTATCTTGAATTCTGTTGGTAATGCTTACCTCAGTGGTTTCTAATCTCTTTGCTTGGTTTTCCATCTCCAAGAGTATTTTCTTTATTGATTCTAATTTCGTTTTCATGTCTTGCATAATTTTCTTCATTTGTTTGTATTTGCATTCCTGTCTGTCCATTCTGGCCTCTATTTTTTGTTTGTTTGCTCTTTAAATGCCTCTATATGCTCCTCTACATGTGTCTCTATTTGTTTGGCTGTATTTACCTGTATTTCTCTGAGAGCTTTGTTCATTTCCTCTTTATGTGTCTCTAATAACTGGATAAGCATAGATTTGAGCTCATTTTCCTGTGTTTCCAATTAATTAAAATATCGGTTGATTTTGGGGGGTGTTGGTGAGGCCATGATGTCCTGTTTTTTGTTGGATGTGTTCTTATGCCGGCCTGTAGCCATCTGCTTATCTGTAACTTTTGCTGTTTGTTCCTGGAGCCTGTACTGCAGCCTGGGTCTGTCTGTCTCTGCAGTCTGTAGTATTCAGTTTCAGAGTTTCAGACAAGGTACATGCTGGGTCTCTGCCATCTTGGAGCAACCCCCCCCCCAAAACTTCACTTTTTAAAACACCTTGTTTGTCTTAACTCCTTTATTAATATTACCTCTTTTTTTCTAACATCTTAAAATTAATTCAATTTTATCTGTCATGTCATTCTCCCATATACATTAGAATACAGTTAGCAATCTCTCTAATCTCTCATGTATCCTTTTGAATTGTGTTCAGCATTCATCAAGTGACTGTTTGTTTGCCTGTTTGTTTGTTTTGATTTTTGGTTTTTAGAGACAGGGTTTCTCTGAGTAGCATTGGCTGTCCTGGACTTGCTTTGTAGACCAGGGTGGCCTCGAACTCACAGAGATCCTCCTGCCTCTGCCTCCCAGAGTGCTGGGATAATGGGCATGCACCCCCATGCTTTACTAAGTGACAGTTTTGATAAGTATAAAGATTCAGAAAAAATGTCCTATAAGTGGAAAATAGTGCTTTTATGGATTTTGCTGTCTAAAAATTACATATAACTAAGGCATTTATTTAAACTTTTCTGAAACCTGATGAGCCAAACTAATTGATTTAGTGATGTGGAGAGATTAAAATGAATACATTAAGAAAGTCGTCTGTGGCCAAGCCACCTGGCTTCAAACTCCTGCCCAAATGAAACCTTTTGACTTTGGAAAACCAGTGTCTCTCGCTATTCTTCAGACTGTTGCTGTGTAAAGTGGGGGTCATAGTAAAAATCCTGCTCACTCAGGTGTGAGGATGTAGTGAATTTACACTCAGTGCTTACAGCTGTGCTGTGCATCAGCAGTGACCATCATGGAGTCTGTCAGGTTGGTATTCTTCCACATTGCTGTTGTGAGAAGTCTATGTGGTCAGTGATGGATGGTGCCAAAGTACTGTTCTCAACTTGTCAAGAATATATGTTTTTTTAACAGAAGGTAGTGTTCCATCATTCAAGAAGGAATCCTAAAAAACTGAAGTGGATTCCTAAGAGGAAATGAGATCCCGAGTAGACTCTCATCAAAGAAAAGACCTACTAGAGATGGCTCACTTAGATGTCTCATATACGGATACCTAAAATAAATATCTGGGAGCTGAGAAAGGGGATACCAGTAATCCCAGCACTTGCATGGCTGTGAAAGGAGGATCACCATAGGTTTAAGCCAGCTTGAATTACATAGTGAGTTTCAAGGCTAGCCCGGGCCATACAATAATACTGTGCTTTAATAGCACAAAGATGAAAATAAACAAACAACAGCAACAGAGACTAAACCAACCAGATTCTCAAAGACCCACAGAAAGAAAACAGACATTGTGAATTTGTAAATATCCAACTTTATAAGATTTGTCAAATACCAGGCTCAGATGGCCCTAAACCTGTTAGAAATTGACACAATTCTGCAATATTTCCAGGTTCAGAATAATTTTCCTTAAAAGAATGAAACAAACAAACCAAAAAGTAGTTGAGGGATTTCTTTCCCAAAGCCATCTGTGGAGGTTTTGGCAAAAACAAATTAATACAGAATCACAGCTCCAGCAAGGGAGAAAAGTCACCATTGACAAAACCTCATGTTTTGTGAATTTATTATGTAGTCCTTTCTATACTGATAAAAATGACGGGCTACTTGAAATATCAAATGTACTGCATACTGAGCTGACGTGTATATCTTTAATTTTAAAGCCACTGGATTATGAAGAAAACCGTCAAGTGACCCTAGAGATTGGAGTGAACAACGAAGCTCCCTTCATCAGAGATGTTGCAAGCCGAGTACCCACCATGAACCGGGCCTTGGTTACAGTTCATGTGAGCAATCAGGATGAAGGGCCAGAATGCAAGCCCCCTGAGCAATATGTGCGGATCAAAGAAAACTCAGCAATCGGGTCTAAGATCAATGGCTATAAGGCCTATGACCCTGAAACCAGGAGTAGCAATGGCTTAAGGTACCCAAGTCTTGGCAACCATGTGCTAAGGCAGTTGTCATAATTGAAACAGCTAACTTATTCTGAGGTGTGTTGTGATGCCAAAGTCTTAAGAAACTTTGTTTTATTAATAGGTACAAAAAATTGAAGGATCCTAAAGACTGGGTCAGCATTGAAGAAGTTTCAGGGTTGCTCACCATATCAAAAACCTTAGACAGAGAAATCATGGCTCCAAGAAATGACTTATACAATATTACAGTCATGGCAATAGACCAAGGTAACAGAGTTTTAATTTAGTGTTTTGTAATGGAATGGAAGAATAAATTGTAATTATTTTTGTGCAGAGTTAATATTACCTCAAAGACTACTATCTCTCTTCTTGTCCTACAAGATAACTTTGGTGAGAAAATACCATTTATTCCTGATTTTGTTTTGTTCTGATAGATTTGTTTGTTTGTTTGTGTAGCCAGAGCTGCTCTTTAATTCACTGTTTAGACAAGGATGACCTTTATAATTCATGATCCCCCTGCCTCAGCATAATGAATGCTACAGGCTTGCACTCCACATTCAGAAAGGTGTTTTTGTTATTGTTGACACAGAGTCCTGTTCTGTAGCCCAAGGTGACTCAGGCCCACTATGTAACTCAGGCTGGTCTTAAAGTGTGGCAATTCTCCTGCCGTAGCCTTACCTGTGCTGAGTTTATAAGTTTGAGCCATCATGCCCAGCTAAATAACACATATCTTATTTATCTTTATATTCCGTGTGCAGGAACTTAGTTATTGCACATCTTATTGTCCTTTGTGGTAAAGGACAATGATGAGACTTAACCGTTAAGACTTAACTGTAAGATGCAATGTTCTCCTCAGACTCCTCCAGGTATCTTGTGTTACTTTGCCTGGAGGAGTTTACTCATTCAGCTAATGACTAAATGCTTCTAAACTTGAATTCTGGAAGTAAATGTCCTTTACCTATGGCTTTATTTTTAAATAACAATAATTTTAATGTGTTACATTACCTTGTACTCATTGAATAGGATTCCTTGGTTGTGGAGCCTGGGTGTAATATATTAAACCCACCCTATAGGAATAGAACAATACTTCTATAACTGCTTCATCAAGGTGCATTAACATCTACGAGCCTAAGGAAAGAGAGTGTGTAATTCAGCATTTATTTCTATCATTTATAGTAATTCTTTCAAAAGGTTTGTTGAAAGTTGTATCCAATATTATCATCAGCAGGAACCATCGTAGACAATCCATAGCTTTAAGTCATTTATATTCTTTTGTTGTTTTTCTGTAAAATATTTATTCACTTTAAATCCTGATCGTAGTTCTCTCCCTCCTCTTCTCCTCTCACCCTATCTTCTCCCATTGCTCCTTCCCCTTTTCAGAGAAAGTAGCACATCCACCCCTGTGCCATCCCACTCAGGACCTTCATATCAATCAGAACTAAGGGCATCCTCTTCCACTGAGGTCAACTAGGAGAAAGTGATCCAATAGAAGGCAGCAGAGTCCATATCAGGGACAGCACTTACACCAGTTGCTAAGGGATCCATATGAAGACCAAATGGCCCATCAGCTCCATAAGTTTAGGAGGCCTAGGTGCATGCACTTAGGTTGGTGGTTCAGTCTCTGTGAGACTCCATGGGCCTACGTTAGCTGGCTCTGTTGGTCTTCTCGGGGAATTCTTGTCCCCTTTGGGTTCCTCTATCCTTCCCCCAACTCTTCCATAAGATTTCTAGATCTCTGTCTAATGTTTGCCCAAGGGTCTCAGCACCTGCTTTGATCTGTTGTTGGATGGAGCCTTTGAGAGGACAGTTATGCTAGGCTTCCATCTGCTAGTATATTGGAATATCACTAATAGCGACAGGGGTTGGCTCTTTTCCATGAGGTGGGTCTCAAGTTGGGCCAGGTATTGGTTGGCCATTTTCTCAAACTCTGTCAAAAGTTTTGTGAGTGGGTTGGTATCTTCCTCCCTTCACTGGAAATTCTACCAGGCTATAGGTGGTGACCACCTCAGTCTCCACATCTGCTGCTAGGATTCTCACCTAGAGTAACCCCATATCCTCCCAGTAGCCTCTCAGCCGTTAGAGATTCATTTGCTGAGAATTCTTTTGGGCCCCATTTCTAATTAGGTCATTTTGTTTATTGGTGTATTATTTCTTGAGTTTTATTATATATTAAACAACCTTTGTCAGATGTATGATTGGTGAAGATATTTTCCCAATATGTAGACTGTCATTTCATTCTACCGACAGTGTCCTTTGCTTTACAGAAGCTTTTCAATTTCAAGAGATCCCATTTATTAATTGTTGACCTTTGAGCCTGAGCTGTTAATGTTCTGTTCAGGAAGCTGTCTCCTGTGCCTGTGAGTTTATGGATCTTCCCCACTTTCTCTTCTAATAGATTTAGTACATCTGGTGTTATGTTGAGGTCTTTGACCAACTTGTACTTAAGCTTTATGCAGGGTGATAAATATGGATCTGTTTTCAATTTTCTACATGTAAACATCCAGTTAGACCAGGATCATTTGTTGAAGGTGCTGTTCTTTTTCCATTTTGGGGTTTTGGCTCCTTAGTCAAAAATCAAGTGTTTGTAGGTATGTGGGTTTATTTCTGGCTTTATTTCAATTCCATTGATCAATGAGTCTATTTCTTTGTCAGTACCATACATTTTTTTTTTATTACTATTGCTCTGTGGAGCAATAACTTGAAGTAAGGGGTGGAGATACCTTCAGAGGTTCTTTTCTTTTATAGGATTGTTTTAGCTATTCTGGTCTTTTTGTTTTTCTATATGAAGATTAGAATTGTCCTTCCAAGGTCTGTAAAGAACTGTGTTGGTATTTTGTTGGGAATTGTACTGAATCTGTTGATTTCCATCTTCTGATATTTTCTTCAATTGCTTTCTTCAGAGACTTGAAGTTCTTGGCAAACAAGTCTTTCACTTGCTTGGTTAGAGTTATACTTCGATATTTATATTATTTGTGGCTATTGCGAAGGGCATAGTTTCCCTAATTTCTTTTTCAACCTATTTGTTGTTTGTATACAGGAGGGCAACTGATTCTTATTTTTTAATTAATCTTGAATCCAGCTACTTTATTGAAGGCATTTATCAGTGGTAGAAGCTCTCTGGTGAAATTCCTGGGATCACTTATATACACTATCATATCATCTACAAAAGCGATACTTTGACTTCTTCCTTCCTGATTTGTATATCTTCGATTTCCTTTAGTTGCCCTATTGCTCTATCTAGAACCTTAAGTATTATATTAAAGAGATATGGAGAGAGTGAGCAGCTTGTCTTTTCTCTGAATTGTATTGAGTTTCTCAGCATTTAATTTGATGATGGCTATCAGCTTGCTGTATACTCTTTACTATGTTTAAGTATGGGCCTTGTATCACTGATCTCTCTAAGACTTTCATTATGAAGGGGTGTTGGATTTTGTCAAAGGCTTTTTTCCACTCAATGAGATGATCATGTGATTTATTCTTTAACTTTATTTATATGGTGGACTACATTGATAGATTTTTGTATCATGAATCATCCCAGCATCCTTGGAAGAAGCCTACTTGATTATGGTGGATGATGTGTTTGATGTGTTCTTGGATTTGGTTTGATGAGTATTTTATTGAATATTTTTATGTCAATGTTCATCAGTGAAATTGGTCTGAAATTTTCTTTCTTTTTTTTTCTGAGTCTTTGTGTGTTTAGGTATCAGGGTGACTATGGATTTAATAGAAAGAGTTTGGCAATGCTTCTTCTATTTTGTGGAATAGTTTTAGAAATAATGGTATTAGATTTTCTTTGAATGTCTGGTAGAATGCTGAGCTAAAACCATCTAGTCCTGAACTTTATCATCATTATTATGATTTTTTGGATGGGAGACTTATTTATTTTTTTATCTTTGTTTTATAAATTTTTTTCTTCACAATTTATTCATTATATATCCTGATTGAAGCCCCCTCCCTTAACTTCTCCAGTCCCACCCTCTCTCCTTCTTTCTTTCATCCCCTTCCATTGAAAGGGGGAGTTCTCCACTATTGCCATCTGCCCATAGCTTGTTAAGTTTCATCAGGGCTGCTTGGATCCTCTTCTTCTGTGGCCTGGCAAGGCTGCATCATCAGGGGCAAGTGATCAGAGAGCAGTCAATTGAGTTCATTACTGAGGCAGCCCCTGATCTCTCCCTCCCCCAGCTATCCACATGGAGACTGATCTGCCAGTTGGCCACATCTGAGTAAGGGGTCTAGGTCCTCTCCATGCATGGTCCTCCATTGGTGCATCAGTCTCTGAAGAACCTTCTAGGCTCAGATCTTTTAGTTTTGTTGGTTTCCTTGTGGGGCTCCTGTCAGATGGGAGACTTTTGATGACTACTATTTCCTTGGGGGTTTTAGGACATTTTAAACAGTTTATCTGATCTTGACTTAAGTTTGGTAGATAAAAATCTATCAAGAAAATCATCCATTTCCTTTAGATTTTCCAATTTTGTGGAATACAGTCTTTAGAAGTGAGACCTAAAGATTTTTTTTTAAATTTCCTTATTATCTGTGTTGTGTCCCCCTTTTATTTTCTGATTTTGTCAATTTGGATACTCTTACTCTGCCTTTTAGTTATTCTGGCTAAGGTTTTGTCTATCTTGTTGATTTTCTCTAAGAACCAGCTCTTGGTTTCATTGATTCTATGCGTTGTTCTCTTTGTTTTCACTTTATGGATTTCAGCCCTGTGTTTGATTATTTTCTGTTGTCTACTCCTTTTTGGTGTGTTTGCTTCTTTCTATTCTAAAGCTTTCAGGAGTGTTGCTAAGTTACTAGTTTGGGATCTCCTTTCCAACTTCTTTATGAAGGCTCTTTGCACTAGGAAATTTCCTTTTAGCATTACTTTCTTTGTGTTTCCTTAATTTGGGTATGTTGTGCCTTCATGTTCATTGAATACTAGAATGGCTTTACTTTCTTTCTTTACTTCTTTTCAGACCCAGTGGTCATTGAGTAGGGAGTTGTTCAGTTTCTATGAGTTTTTAGGCTTTTTTTTGTTTCTTTTGTTGCTGAGTTCCAGTTTTAATCCATTTTGGTCTGATAAGATGCCAGGGGTTATTTCAACCTTGGTGCATCTTTTGAGGCTTGCTTTGTGACCCAAGTATATGGTCAATTTTGGAGAGGGTTCTGTGAGATGCCGGTAAAAGTGTATGTTCTTCTGTGTTTGGATGGAATCAATTCTCAGGGGATACAGGAAGGATTGGTAGTCCCTGGTGGCTGCTGGTCTCTGGGATTGCAGGTAGGTGGTCCCTATGTCTGCCAATCTTTGGAAGTTGTTGGTAGAGATGGGGCCCAGGGAAATGGAGTGCATCTGTGTGATGGAACAGAGCTCCAAGGAAGACCATACCACTCTTCTTTATATTTTTATTCACCATTCAGCTAATAATCAAAGATTCTGTTTTTAGGAAATACAGATTTTACCTGCACCACTCAGCAACCCATACATTCATGTGATTTACTGCACTAGTCACAGTAGCTGGGAAATAGAACCAGCTTAGATGACCATCAAGAATAAACAGATTAAAAAAAACATATACATAATGGGATTTCATGTCTCTGTAAAGAAAAATGAAATGATGACATTTGTAGGAAGTTGACACAACTGGAATCATTGTGTTAAGAGGAACATGCTAGATTCAGAAAGACAAATACCACAACTTCTTTCATGTATAGAACCTAAATTTAAAATTATATATTATATGTATATAAAATAGAGATTAAACTGTATTTTTCTCTTTGGACCCTCTAAGACAAGAATATAAGAAGAGAACTGAGCCTTTGTCCCTTTCCCTTCTCAGCGGGTAAATCATGCACAGGAACACTTGCAGTGAACATCGAGGATGTGAATGACAATGCACCAGAGATCATTGAAGATTATCTTGTCATCTGCAAGCCAAAGATGGGATATATGGATATTTCAGCTGTGGATCCTGATGAACCTGTCAATGGCCCTCCTTTTCAGTTCAACTTGGCAAGCTCTTCTCCAGAAGTCAACAGAATCTGGACCCTCAAGCCAGTTAACGGTATTCCAGAAAGTTAATGATTCATGCAGAATAACTGTTGGAGGGGTTCACATGGTAATTTACACAAAGCATGATGCAAAAGTTTAGGATGTTAAATTAAGCTTTTCCAATGCATGTGTATGCATATAGAAGAGCATGTGTATGGGCAGGCACCTCTCTATATGTGTGTGTGCGTGTATGTTTGACTCTGTATATAAGTGTCTGCATGTTCATAGAGGCTTGGTGGACTGCCAGACTAGATTAATCTGCAAGTGCTAGGCAAAGAGAGATCCTTTCTCAAAAAACAAGGTGGTCAGTTTCTGGGGCATGATACCTGAGGTTCTAATGGGATCTTTATATGTGTACATCTTTCTACACAAAATCAATCAATGGAAGCAAAATCCTTTTATTTTCTTAAAGATACAGCTGCCCGCCTATCCTATCGGAAGAATGCTGAAGCTCAGATATACACCATTCCTGTTACTGTAAAAGATAGAGCCGGGAAAAATGCAACCAAAATCTTGAGAGTTAACCTGTGTGACTGCACTCACCCCAGCCAGTGTGTGGCCAGGTCAAGGAGTGCAGGAATCGCCATGGGGAAGTGGGCCATCCTTGCCATCTTGCTGGGCATCGCACTGCTCTTTTGTAAGTACTTTCATTCACTTGAAGATGAAATGCAAAATTAAAGGTCTGAACATCTTGGGAAGTAAATACAGACAAGCATCTTTTAGGTGTGAGTTCTGTTTACACATTACCTCTGTATTCTGTGGTAGCTGAGTACTGCTAGAATCGTTGTTCTTTGAGGGAAATTGGGTCCTTTCTGCAACAGAATTGTTAAAAAGTATTTAGCTTATTCAATTCTGCTTTCTTTTCTTCATTTATAGGGGCAGTAGTAGTAAGCTACACTGTGGGGGTACAATTAAGTAAATTTATGTGACATTATTAGACTAGTACCTACTAATTTCTAATAATCATTAATTAGTTTTCACCAACACAACAAAATAAATGTATCTTTAATACCTACTAGATTTCAGAAAATGGTACTAGGTAGGATTCATTGGAGAGCAAAATAGACAAAAATAAATAAATAACAAAATAGAAACAAAAAACTCAATAATCACCAAAAATTTCATTTCTGAGAGGAATATATTGGAATACAGTAAGTAGACTCAAGCATGCTGTCATGTATGTATGAGGTTATCGGTCTTGGTGGCCACCCATTGCCACATATGGTTAGATCACTAGGTCATGCCTACATAACATGATTTGGTCTCTTCAGTTATGTGGCATACCCAGGGAGAAGGGCTTTCAGATGGAGGAGAAAGTTAAGTCAAAAACTGTATGGTAGGATTATGTCTGAAGAAATCAAACAATGGTGTAGAGTGTCCTTTGTCCACATGGAAGTGGATGAGGGGAGGAATATCAGGAAACACAGCTAGAAGGAGAAAGGAGGCGGGCACAGTGATCCTTCAGGGGACAGATGGTAATAGCTCAGAGCCATTCGGGTCAGCTGAAATCTGTGACCTCTGTAAGAAGGCCTTACTGAGAATATCTGAGTGAAAAGTGTAGACGTGTTCCCTCAGAACTTGAAATCTGCATGCTAAAATTTGAATCTCCTGTAATTTTTATTCTTGGGTTTTTGTTGTTTGTTGGTTTGGTTGGTTGGTTTTGTTGGTTTTTTTTTATTTTTTATTTAACTTTTATTAATTACACTTTATTCATTTTGTATCCCCCCATAAGCCCCTCCCTCTTCCCCTCCTGGTCCCACCTTCCCCCCCTTCTGCATGCATGCCCCTCCCCAAGTCCACTGATAGGGGAGGTCCTCCTCTCCTTCTTTCTGATCTTAGTCTGTTCTCATCAGAAGTGGCTGCATTGTCAGGGTTCTAGGTTATCTCCATGGATAGTCCTTGGTTGGAGTATGAGTCTCTGGGAAGTTCCCTGTGTTCAAATTTTCTTGTTCTGTTGCTCTCCTTGTGGAGTTCCTGTCTTCTCCAGCTCTTACTATTTCCCACTTCTTTTGAGGCAAAAGTCTTACTATGTAGACCTGGTTGTAATTTTCATATCATGAATTAGTCTTAATTTTGCTCTTTTTTTTTTTCTTCACTTAAAAGCTTAAAAATCTAAGGTCATGGGCCATACAAAATCATGTGGTGGACTGGAATTATGGACACAGTTTGCCAGTGTGCTAGAGTGTCTTCTGAACCACTGAAAGTAGCTGTTATTACTACTGATTTAGTGACCATAGTGTCTTAAATCTCCTATTATTATATAGGATAAAAGTCTAAACACATAAGATACAAAATGTGTTTAATTATGTTCTTTTTTTTTCTTCAATTGGCAAATCGATCTTTTGGGACTCAGTAAATATCTCCAATGTTTAACTTAAATAGATGTTAGAGACTTTAAGGTCTACAGTTGAACTCATGATTCTAAACCCGTTCACATGAAGGGGAGGATGCCTTAGAAAAATTATCAAAATATGCATGTGATTATAACACATTTCAAATTGTGCCTGTGAGTTTGAAAAGACCAGGACAATTTAAGGGAAGCAACAGTTAATGTTCTTGTCCTCATGAGGCCTAAGGCATAAGCAATAAAGATGATTGCTTTATTATATATTTGGTAACTTATGTTCTTTTAAAACTGTATTTCTTTATTGTATGTTTGGTAACTTGAGTATGATAATTTAAAAATGTATTTCTTATTTTTACTTAGCGGTACTGTTAACTTTAGTATGTGGAGTTGTTACTACCCGAAAAGGAAAACATTTTCCTGAAGATTTAGCACAGCAAAACTTAATTATATCGAACACCGAAGCACCTGGAGACGACAGGGTGGTAAGTGATTTTTTTTGGCGAACAACTATCCCTGCAGTTTTAAACTTCACTCGTGTGAAGTTACTTAGGAGTTACTTTATTTTTGTAATTGGTAAGAATCTTGTAAATTTTAAGTCTTCTGTCTGTCAGTGTTCCAGAACTTAACGGAGTGGTACTTATTGAACTTCAAGAAGCAAATTTACTTTTCAGTTCTATTCTTTCCACTTTTTGCTAGTATTAATTCAAACTTAGTCTTTTACATTGTGAATTAATTACAACAGTAATAATTCTGACTGCTTTCTGCAATGTGTAAAATTCTTTGACCCCACTGTTTTCTTTCCTTATTATAATGTAGTGCTCTGCCAATGGATTCACTACCCAGACAGCCAACAACTCCAGCCAGGGCTTCTGTGGCACAATGGGATCAGGAATGAGGAATGGTGGGCAGGAGACCATTGAAATGATGAAAGGACACCAGACCCTGGACTCCTGCCGCGTCGCTGGCCACCACCACACTCTGGAATCCTGCAGGGGCGGACACATGGAGACTGACAACTGCAGATACACTTACTCAGAGTGGCACAATTTCACTCAGCCTCGACTTGGTGAAGTGAGTTTCCTTCCATGTTTTACTCTGAGGTAGAGAACAATAAGACACTGGTATTAATGTACATCTCTAGAAACTGTTTTGCTAAGTCCCTTCTCTTGTTTCTGTTGGTCTTTTAAACATGTTTTGATTTTGTTACTGTATTTAATTTTTAAATATTTTTATTCCTTTGTCACATTCACTCAGTTTCTATGATCTTACAGGAACCAGGGGCTTCTATTATCTGCCCCTAAAGATTCATTTTTACGTGCACATTTATCTTATAAACTCCTTTGATAAGAAAAGAATGTGAAGAAAAATTCTAGTATCTCACAAATATACATTTTCCAAGTAAAACATATTTTGCTGTGAAAACATAAACCTCTGAATGCATTTTTTAGGTTAAAGATTAACACACTTAAGGTATACATTGATTTGTTTAATATTTTCCTTTATTCTAAGTGGACTAGTTATAATTGCACATATTAGACGATGTTAGTGATTGAATGCTTTTGCTTTATTCTGCCAGTATGTTTGTGTGTGTAACAAAAACCTCACATGTGATTTGTATGTTAGGTCAGGGTAGGGATCCTGTTTAAGCTTCCATGTCTGAAGCAGAGGGAGCTACTGTGCTCAAGGCAAACATTCTACCAACCACCTTTAGTTCAGAACAGAACACGAGTTTGAATATTCTAGAAGAGGGCTCTTAATTTCTTCATACCCATATCTTTTTTTTTTTTTTTTGTCACAGTCAGTGTTTACATGTTTTATATTTGAAGATGGCATTCATGTGAGCTCACAATAAGGGACAAAGCTCCATACACTCACTTAGAAACACCCTTCAGCGTCATAACTAGTAGTGGAAGGAGAGGCTAACAAGGATAACACTCTTGGTAGCAGCGGGCCACCAGGTGATGGTTAGGGGAGGACTGCAAGAGCAGATAGCATAGGAAGCCTTCAAGTGTGGAAGACAGGCCAGCGAGACACAGCGCTGTGGGTGAGGCAGCGGCGGTCAACAGTTTGCCGCTTCGGAACAAAAGCATAGTTTCTGCAGTGTGAATTAAGCAGATGCTTGTAAGTTCAGTGATTTTCTGGAGGTGTATCTCTGGCTCTTGGCGACTTTGGAATGCAGTAATTTTCTTATGTACTTCATCACGGCACATGGTGGAGCTTTAGTTTATATTCGTTGTACAATTACCATGGGATAGGCATAAGAAATGTGATTTCATGCGCTGCTATTGCCATCATTAGCTCCCTGAAATAACAGGAGGGGAACACAACTTAAAGTAACACAAGTTAGTAAACTAAAGTTATTTCAAACTAGGGCCACTTGGTACCCACACACAAATTCCAACCGCCTGTCATAGTGTCTCCATTTTGTGAAACTGACTGCAACTATAGACACAAAATTTGGGGATAAATATTTTATGATGACTTAAGTATACTTAAATATAAATTTTTGGACCTAGTTTTTAATTTTGTGAATTATTAAAAATGAAAAATAATACTGATTTATGATATGGCTGTAATATAGACCAATCATGTGCATTTTTTGTGTGTAGGACTCCATTAGAGGACACACTGGTTAAAAATTAAACATAAAAGGTAAATAAAATAAATTTTCTGTTCATATGTTTAAGTTGTTTAAAAAAATAATACAACCCTCTTTTTTGGACTTTACAGAAATTGCATGTGTGTAACCAGAACGAAGAACACATCCCATCCCAAGACTACGTCCTCACCTATAACTACGAAGGCAGGGGATCTCCAGCGGGTTCTGTAGGCTGCTGCAGTGAAAAGCAAGAAGAGGAGGGACTGGACTTTTTAAACAACCTGGAACCCAAATTCCTTACATTGGCAGAAACATGCACAAAAAGATAATGCCGCCTGGTAACAATTAGACACGTCCTTAGCAGAAGTTTGAAACGATGAAATGTAAAAAAAAGAGTCACTATTTGCACAAAATGGTCTTGAGCTATGCTGGCTTATCTTGTGATAGTCTGATTTTAGTCTAGTGTGAAACTGACACATAATCAGGAGTAGCCATTTCTGTGGAAATCTGGTATTTTCTGGGCTGGCTATGTGCTGTGTGTAACTGTCCTGCAGTGCTGGGCAGGGCAGTGAGCTTCAGCTCCTAGCCTGTCACAGGGTCATGACCGTTGCAGTGTGTGGGGTCATATATCTCCTCTGATTGCTAATAAGATACAATCACATCCTGAGCCAAGGACAGTGTGCACATATAATGAACTTTTCTACAGTTTAAAGTCTCCCCATAGCAATTTGTATTAAAGTGATTGGTTGCTGACCACTTTTTAAAAAGCACAAGTGTTAAAATTAGAAAGCTTGAGGAGTTCAAGCTGCAGTACTGGAGTTAGCTAAGGTCTGGAAAGGGCCTGCCTAGCCCAGAGGATACTTTCCTAACAAATGAATTGTGTAACGTGTTAGTCTAAAAAAACCGTTAAGTTGTTAGCAATATCACTCACTACATAAACCTTCTAAAGGTGGTTTAACATACAAACAAAACATTAAGGATGAATGTTTCAGGACAGAAATAATTAATGCTAAGTTACATTAAAATTTCTGTAAAGCTGAGGATCTCTGACCTGCCTCCGTCGGATTTCACTGTCAAATATTTTATTGGTCTTTGGAAACAAAATTTGGCAAGCTAGGATACTGTATAGCAATTTTCTATTTCATCACAGTCTGAAACCTTTTGTGATTTGTAACCAAAGTAGGAATCAGAGTGATGTTTAAAATGCGATGTAAACAAAGAGGAAAATGGCAATTATTTAAGTTTAGTGGGAAAGTAAGGAAGAGTGGATTTAGTTTGAAGGATATGTAAAGATCTGTACATCCAAATATTAGAAGACAACTAGGTGATCCTCCCCCATAACCCCTACAATGCTGAGACCCACAGTTTCCTGTCGGGTCGATTACAGAAATGCATGTTTTGGGGGGATGTAGTGTTGACCGCCAATGGAGTTACATCCTCCATCAACTTTTTTCTTTTCTTTTTCTACCCTTTTCTCTCTCTTCCTCCTGTTCTTTCATTTTTTATTTTGTTTTTATTCTATTTTTTTTTTTTTTTTTTGGAGGGGGTAGTGGTGGTGGATTATCTCTACCTACTGGCTGTCCTCAAATTCACAATACCCCTGACTCAGCCTTTGAATACTAGAATTAAAGGCAGATGCCACACTCTTTGTTTTTTGATGCAGAGCCAACTGGCCTTGGCCTTTAAGTTTGGAGCCTTCATGGTGCAGTGTGGAGGCAATGGGGAGAAAGTGTTTTTATCCTCAGAGCCACAGACTCATGGCTTCTTATCTCCCACCAACGAGAATTATAGCTTTTATCTCCAGTACTCACTCACACCCTATGTGAAAGGAGCTCTGGCACCATTTCAGAAACGCAGGCCCTCCTTGGTTCCTTTTCCTGTCCTCCAAAGCTGCTTGAAAGCCCTGCATCTGATCCACCTAGGTGGCAAATCTAGAAACTCAATCATCCTTTAGTGTGATTTAATTTTTTTAAAACCAGTTTGCATTGTTAGGGATAATTCATCATGACAGAAAAAAACAGGAATTTTGGATCCGTGGAAGAAAGAGATCAAATTGTCATTTAGGGAGGGCACCCAGATGGAACAGTCTGGGGTTCAGAGACAATCAAGCAGAGCTGCCAGGAAGGTCAAAGCATGAAGCCAGCAGGGCTGTGAGCAGCAGAGAAGGCCACATTTTATGCCCTTTGCGTTCTCCAATGTCTTATCCTGCCTTTTCTTCTTGCTCTTAAACCAATATGCCCACCCTTTAGTTTGTAGAAGTGTCAGCAAGACATTTTTAAGACCTCTTCTTATTTGGAATATTTTGAATCTGGAAGGACAGTGATAGGAGATGTAGCTCAGTCAGCAGAATGCTGCCTGGCATGCCTGAAGCCCAGGATTTGATTCCAAGCACTGCATAAAACAGGCTTGGTGGCTCTACTAGTAGCCCCAGCCCTTGAAAGAGGTGAGGGCAGGAGGATCGAGGTAGTTCAAACTCTTCCATAGCTATGTGAAAAGTTTTTTTTTTTTATTGTTAGTTACATTTGATTAAGTCTGTATCCCAGCTGTATCCCTCTCCCTTATTCCCTCCCAATCTCACCCTTCCTCCCTCATCTCCTCTTTGTCCCTTTCCAAGTCCACTGATAGGGGAGGACCTCCTTCCCTTTTATGCTACACTGGTTTATCAGGTATCTTCAGGACTGGCTGCAAAGTCCTCCTCTGTGGCCTAGCAGGGCTTCTCCTCCCTTGAGGGAGTGGGATGGTGAGGTCAAAGAGCCTGCCATTGAGTTAATGTCAGAAATAGTCCCTGTTCTCCTTACTAGGGTATACACTTGGATACTGAGCTGCCATGGGCTACATCCGAGCAGGGGTTTTAGGTTATATCCATGCATAGTCCTTGGTTGGAGAAACAGTCTCATAAAAAACCCCTGTGCCCAGATATATTTGGTCCTTGTGGAACTCCTGTCCTCTCCAGCTCATACTAACTCCCCTTTCTTTCATATGATTCCCTGCACCCTGCCAAAGGTTTGGTTATGAGTCTCAGTATCTGCTTTGATAGACTGCTAGGTAGAGTCTTTCAGAGGCCCTCTGCAGTAGGCTCCTGTCCTGTTACTTGTTTTTGAGGCCAGCGTGGGATCTATGCTGCGAGTCTTTGGATGCGCTAGAGTAAATATGACCTGTTCAATAAAGTCCCTATCCTTTATCCATTGATGCTAAGGTCTTCAACTACGTGAGTATCTAGAATTCTGATTTGATTTTTATATTTTTCATGTTTTTATTTTATCCTGAGAGTTACTTTCTTGGTAGATGTTTGAAATTGTCCTTTTTTTTTTTTGTTCATATAATATTATTCTTTTCTCAAATGTATAAGGTGAAAATTGTGCTATTTTAGTGGGTAAGAAAAACATCTCTTTGTTTTTTAACACTTTCATCTTCCCCCCTGCCACCCCAGGTTTTTATGCAAATGTACAGTTACTTTTTTCTCACATTTATAAGGAAGCAGTCTAAAAAGCAATTGGAGTTTGTTTTTCAATGATTTCAACAAGTTCAATTTGACAATTAAATTGCTTCTGAATCTTATCAAATGAAAAAACAAGCATGAAATGTGAGAAATAATGCTTCTCAATAAGGAATGTAATAAAGTGATGTTAAACTGCTTTCCTGTCTTTGCTGATTGTAGAGGCTGAAGGATCTAAGGGGTTAACACGCAAACTGAGTTTCAGACTAGCAAGAAAATTGAAAGACTCCACAGCTCCTCTGTTGCACAGTGGAGAATATTCTCTAGAACATGTAACTCACAAACTGTCAACATCATCAGTATGTCCTGGGACCACGACACCATTTTGAGACAGATTTCTCCAGATGAGGACCACCTGAAAACATTCATTATGTGGATGTGATTTACCACTAATGACATACTGGTAAAGAACTTGAAACTGGGGACCAGAAATTGTTAAAGTTATTTTTAAATATAATTTATTCACTTTATATCCTGATTGTAGCCTCCTCCCTCATCTCCTCCCAATTCCACCCTCCCTCTATCTTTTTTCCATCCCCTAGACAACAGAAATGGGGAGCCTTCCTCCCCTACTGTCTGACCCTAGCCTCTCAGTTCTCATCAGGACTTCCTGGATCCTCTTCCTCTGTGGCCTGGCAAGGCTACCCTGCCAGGAGGAAGTGATCAAAGAGCAGACAACCAGGTCTATGTCAGAGACAACCCCTGCTCCCCTTACTAGGACACCCACATGGAGACTGAGCTGCTTATAGGCTACTTCTCAGCCGGGGGCTTAGGTACTTTCCATTCCATTAGGTCCTATGTTGGGGCATCAGTCTGTGCAGGCCCCGCCCTGGCCCCATACTTGTTGGTTCTGTTGGTGTCCTTGTGGAACTCTTGTCCTCCAGGGTTTTTCTATGCCCCTCCCCACCAACTATTCCTTAGGACTCCTTGCACTCTGCCCAAAGTTTGGCTATGAGTCTCAGCATCTGCTTCAATCCCGTGTTGGCTGGAATGTTTCAGAGAACATTCTGGTCCCTCTCTTCAGCTGCTTCTGTGTCTATTCTATTTGCCCTTCTGAATGAGAATTAAACATCTGCCTAGGGTACTCTTTGTTGTTTAGCTTCTTTAGGTCTGTGGAATGTAGAATGGTTATTATCCTGTATTATATGCCCAATATCCACCTAATAATGAGTATATACTATGTGTGTTGTCTTTCTGGTTTTGTGTTACCTCACTGAGGATGATCTTTTCTATTTCCACACCTTTGCCTGCAAATTTCATGAGCTCTTGTTTTAAATAGCTAAGTAGTATTCTATTGTGTAAATGTACCACAATTTCTGTATCTATTCTTCGGTTGAGGGACATATAATTTGTTTTCATATTATGGCTATTACAAATAAAGCTGCTATGAACATAGTTGAGCAAATATCCTTGTTGTAAGGTAGAGATCTTTCTGGGGTCTTGAGGTAGCACTATTCCCAATTTTCTGAGAAAGCACTAGATTGATTTCCAAAGTGGCTGTACAAGTTTGTGCTCCCACCAGCAAGGGAAGAGTGTTCCTGTTTCTCTACAACGTCTCCAGCATGTGCCATCACTTGAGTTCATTTATTTATTTATTTATTTATTTATTTATTTATTTATTTATTTATTTATATTATTAGTTCCATTTTATTAACTTTGTATCCCAGCTGTATCCAGCTCCCTCATTCCCTCCCAACCCCACCCTCCCTCCCTCATCTCCTCCCTGCACCTTTCCAAGTCCAGATGTCCATCAACGAAGGAATGGATACAGAAATTGTGGTATTTTTACACAATGGAATACTACTTGGCAATTAAAAACGAGGAAATCATGAA